CTTGGTAATTCCAAACGTATCGATGAACTCCCCAGTGGTGTAATCCAAAGTAAGATATGGTGTATTCGCTCTCACAGTCTATGAATGTAAATAATAGTTGTTTTATATCTCCGTTAACTCAATCTCGAATGAAAACGGAACGGGGAAGTTGAGAGAAGCAGTGTATTTGTTAACCAGCAACGATATGTCACGCTATGTAATATCACAACGGAAAAAGTGTTCAAGGTCATTGACTAAAACAACACGTACAGTCATTTAATGATAAATGTACATACAGTGAAAAACTGACAAGACAAATACAAATAATATTAAAAACTATTTACAAAATAAGCTTGTCAGTCATATCTCCACATAGCTCCCCCCAGAGTGTCCGGAGGTAACACTGATTACAATAACAAAAATAAAGGAATATGATATATATATGTATATACAAAAATAATATTTGCAGTTATAACCAATAAAGATGTGGAGATGAGTATGATATGTATATTAGTGAGATATACCGTGTGTTATCGTGTGAAAAAAAATAACAGTGATGTCACAGAATAAAAAAAACAGAAAAAAAAATGAAAATACTGTCATTTAATGTCTTGTTTAGCTAATAATGATAATAATGTGTAAAACTGTTAATGACCCACACACACAAAAAAATTGAACTGCTTATTTTTGTGTATAATGAATAAATAATTAAATAGAGTTTACCCGTTTATTATTGTAACAAATTTTTTTGAAAAAAAATGTGACAAAACGAATAATTAAGGATAAATGTGATTATGTACACTGTAGAAAGGAAAAAATATTTTAGATGAGATTGATAGTGTAGGTCCTCGATAATTGTTTGCTTTGATGGTTTTAGTTGTTTTTTTATATTGCAAAATGTACATAACGCTTTGGTTTTTTTATAAGTCTCCCAGAACGTGTTAAACAAGAGGGTGTAGTGCTAAGTTTTTCCACTTCCTTGTTTCTTAGCAATTGACGGGAGTGATTGTTTGTTCGCAGTATTGTCTTCTGTGGCTGGTTTAATTCGGTCTATGGAAATTGTTTCATTGTTCCCATTTTTGTTGATAATGAAATATTTGAGAGTGCGTTTTATTACTTTATAGGACCTTCATATGGTGGTGTCAGTGGCTTTTTCACCGCGTCTACTCGAACAAAAACAAATTTGCACGTTTCTAAATGTTTATCGAGATGAACTCGGTTGTTTTGTTCTCTAGGTGGTATTGCTCTGATGTTCTGCATCATTTGTAATAATCTGCTTACAAAACGAGAAGAGTCTCCTGGCGTTGTGGGTTTATTCTTGACCAGTTGTCCTGGTAACGTTAAGGTCGTGCCATAGACTAGTTCAGCGGCCGTGCATCCGATGTCTTCCTTTACTGACGAGCGAATCCCAAGGAGAACAAGCGGTAAAGCATCGCTCCATTTTGAAGAGTCCGGTTGTGCTATCAGAGAGCTTTTTAGTTGGCGATGGAATCTTTCAACCATGCCATTAGCTGCCGGATGATAAGCTGTCGTTTTAACATGATTTACTCCAAGAAGTTCAGTGAACTCGTGAAATAGAACGGATTGGAATTGGGGACCGCGGTCTGTTGTGATTATTAATGGTACGCTAAAGTTGGATATCCAGCGGTCGAGGAAGACTGAAGCCACTGCGAATATGCATGTCGAAGGATTGATGACGACGCCATGCTTTTTAAAACGATCAAAAAGGATCTGGACATGTTGGATATGCTCTTCTAAAGATGAGCTTGCAATCAGAACATCGTCGATGTAGGCAAACACGAAATCAAGGTCTCTTGTTACGTTATCCATGAAGCGTTGGAATGTCTGCGCAGCGTTTTTCAGTCCGAATGGCATCCTTAGATACTCAAACAAACCAAAAGGTGTTATTATGGCTGTTTTCTCAATGTCTTCCGGTGTCATTGGAATTTGGTGATATGCTCGCACTAGGTCGAGCTTCGAAAAAAATGCATTTACCGTGTAGGTTTAATGAAAAATCGTGTATATGCGGAATTGGGTATTTGTTGGGAATGGTTTGATTGTGTAATCGTCGATAGTCACCACACGGACGCCAATCTTGGTCCTTCTTTGGTACCATGTGTAACGGCGAGGCCCAAGGGCTGTTGGATGATCTGATAATACCAAGTTGCATCATATGTTTGAATTCTCTTTTAGCTACTTGCAACCTGCTTGGCGGTAGTCTCCTCGCCCTGGCGCTAATAGGTGGGCTGGTGGTAATGATGTGGTGTTGCACCTGATGTAAATTACATTCCTTTTGATAATCTGATTTCGTGATGCATTCGTATTCTGACAGAATGTCGTTGAAAACGTTGTTCGCAGGCTTCATTATTCGTACACCCTTGATTTCACAGTTGTAAACGTGTAAACGTGTATTTGCATCGATCAATCTCTTCTTAGTCATATCTACTAACAAGTTGTACGCACTAAGGAAATCAACTCCGAGGATGGATCGTTTGACATGGGCAACTATGAAAACCTATGTAAATCTTCTGCGGAGTTCGAGATCTAATATAAGTGATTGCTCACCGTACCTTTTGATAGTTGATTCATTAGCCTCTACTAAGGACAATTTAGTGCTTGTCGTATGTTGTCTGCGTGAGAGATGGAGTGAGATGATGCCGATTTCTGCTCCAGTATCGACTAAAAAGTCTGAGCCAGAAATACGATCCCTGATGTAGAAGAGGCGGCTAACATGTTGGCCAGTAACAGCTGCCGCCGTTACTGTCTGGCCACTTCGTTTCCCTGATGGTCTGGGTTGTTTGTCGTGAAGTTGCACGGTTTTGTGCAACGACGTGCTTTCTCACCATAATTCGAATGATACCAACAAATTCCGGCTGCCCGCTTAGGTGACCTAAGACGATGTCTGGATATTAATCTCCTTCTGGACGTAGATCTGGTGGGTCGAGAATGGATGGTGGAAATGGTCGACTGCAGTGATGCTAGCTGCTGTGTTAAGTGTGCTATTTGCTGCTGAATGTCCAGAGGGGGGGTCATCGTGTCTCTACTAGAGGTTTGTAGTGTATTCAAACACCGACTGTCGGGATAAATCTCCATTATCTTGTCTGCCATATCAGCTAGATCGCCGAGATTGACGGAAGTTCCTGATACGCTGAGAATTTGAGTGACGTTCTGTGGTAAACGTTGAAACCACATCTGTTTAAGTAATGCGTCGTCTACCTTATATGACCCTGCTAAATGTTTCATATGCCGGAGTAATTGCGAAGGTCTCTTGTCCCCCAATTCGCAAGACGTTAGCAGCTGATGCAGTCTTCTCTCGTCTGAAACCGAGGTGCGTTGGATTACGGCTGTTTTTATCTTATCATAAGGTTCTGATTCTGGTACATGGTCAATCAAGTCTCCTACTTCAGCAGCAATCTCTATGGGGAGTGCACCAACTACATATGCATACTTTGTTGCCTGTGATAGTATGCCTCGTGCCATAAATAATGCGTCGACTTGTGCAAACCAGATTCTGCGATTATTTACACCGTACGTTGATAATCTTAACTCTGAAATTGCGTTGATCGAGTTTAAAGAATTAGCTTCTGGTTGTGAAGAGTTCAAGGGGTTGGTCAGTGGACTGTCTATATTTATGAGTTTACCAGGAGAGTTCATGATGACAAAAACAAAAAAATATGGTGTGTCGTACCAGGTGATAATAATTATTAAAAAAATATGTAGATATATATAGTAAATGTCAGTCATATCTCCACAATAGTATCTACTCATATAGTTCCATACATTAACTGCAGTACTCACTAACCTAGTCGACGAAGCGGAAATTCCGAAAACAATATCTAACATATACCAGCTATAGAACCTGTTCATGTGATTGGTGAAACTGATCTTCAGTTGATGAGTAACCTCAGACTAAGTAAGATGGGCTACATCTACGGTCGCTGTCATCTCTAAAGGACATTATTTCAAAGTCACTCACGATACGCTTTAACATGACCCTTCTCTATATTATTATTATTATTATTATTAATGGCTTTATTCAATATTATCTTTTTGGTACAATAAAGAATTCTCAGCTACCTAAGGACACTTAGTCACGTTAGCGTGTTCAATGTGAAAAATGAAATTATTGAAGGGTCTTACAGAACTCCCTTATATCGAGAGTTTGAAAAGCCTAGACTTTTACCCTTATAGCGTCGAAAAACGCGGTGACCTTATTTTGACGTGCCTTACCTTTAATTACGATTCGGGTGTTAATATTGTAGCGTGGTGTCGAGTTGAGGTTAACTATGAACACCGCTACCAAGAAACACGTGCCAAGTAAATCAGAAGGCGTAGGTTGAACGTAACCAAATAAATCCATAAAATCCCCGAGAAGCCAGATATCAGAAGGCAATTAATGGACCAGATCGAGATATATTCGCTGGAGATCTCGTGGCATCGAAAGGATACCGAGATCGTGCCAGGATAGAAGCTTGGTTACAGAAGGTAACCGAATTCGCGCGAAGTTACAACCAAAGTGTAAGAATCAGAATGGTAGCACAATATAGCTGTCATTAGCACAGTCAAACAAAAGCACAATAAAACAAACACTGGTACAGTTGGTTATAATAATAATTGTTTTTATTAAACCAGTCGTGTTCTCGTGATAAATGTGAGTCACTACAATATCTTACATCTTTTTGCTTCTTACGGCATAAACAATCTTCGGATTCGTAGCAAGAAGGCTCAACAACCTGCTATATTTATTACTAAAGACTGACACCAGATGATTTATAATTACTGGTAAATACAAAAGCCTAGTGCATAAGCTTAGGATGTATCGATGCTTTTCACGAATGCACTACAAAAATAAATTAGACATAAAATCAAGTGTAAAACTAATTGCAAATACTGCTCATTAGTATCATTTGTGCCATGTATTTCGTATGTTGATGAGTAACACCTATACACTAAATTCTTCCTATATTGAGATATTCCCACAACGTTGTTTGAATGAGTACTTTCAGTGACTCACGAAGGTCATACTTTTGGGAAATTTTTCCAATACTGTGTTTACGCTAGGTCAAGGGTGTTACATGTTAGCAAATCGCTTACTGGAAAAGTTTGAAAAAGTCAGACTGCTAGGGGTGAGACCATAATGTATGGACGACTTTTGAGTGGCGTCAAAATGACCTTGAGGATGTCTACGTAATTATAAGGGCTAAACGAGGGTTATAACACAGGTTTATATATAAACCTATGTGGAGTATAAGAACTATGATTAACGAATAATGGTTAGGGTTGGGAATCAGATTTGGGGTTTAAATCATGGGCTGACACCAGCTAAAATGACTAAGCGTTGTTTAGCTAAATAGGTGAGTGTATTTCGCGTCAAAATCCAAAACTTGTTGTCGTAAATCTGAATGGTTCGTCTATAAATTGTAGTCCTGCGTAATAAACCCTCATTCGTCACGAACTTAAATCAGTTGAAATTGGAAGATGAATATCAGTTTGGTTCGTCTCTATACTCTACTTCTTCCCAATGTTCTTGCTCGTCCTATTTTAGTGGTTGGTTAGGTGTTAATAGTATTCACTGTAATCTTTTATACATCATTTTCTTTAGTTTTATCTTAAATACTTTCATGCTGTGTGAATACATGTCATGCGTTATATCTTGGGCTGTCTTCCGCAATTAATGTTACACCACTAATCTTTCTGAGGCGAAGGTTTTACCAAGCGTGCGATCTCCGAATGTATTTTTAAGGGCCATATATCCACCAATGTCTTTTTCTGTGTCAGCTCTATTCTCAGTTTAATTGCGATCCCATGTTTTTTTGTCTCAGATATCAAGCCAGTATTATATTTAGATTCATATTTGTGTAGTAGGGACAGACAGCCTGTTATTCCTTTTCTAGTATGCTTCTGTGAGTGTCTAGTCTTCTCTTGAATGAGTCAATTGAAAGTGCGGACACAAGTCCCAAGAATTGATGACTTGGTGTGAAAACCTGTCTGCCACGGGTATTTTGTTCGTTCTTGGCTTTTCTACTTGCCTGCTATGTCCTCTGAGATGTCCCGATCTAATGGGAAGAAAAAGAGAGGATGTATTAGATCAGAAATCATTTCTTAGTATTCTATACATCGAAACCAGATCACCTCTTAATCTGCGATAGGACAGGGTAAAGAGATCTAGCTTTTCTAGTCCCTCTTTGTATGGTAAACCCCAGAGTTCTGAAATTGCGCGGGTAGTTGCCCTCTGTGCTTTTTCCAGGATATCTGAGTCACATTTTAAACAGGGGCTTGCAGCCTGAACATAGGCTTCAAGCTTAATTCTCACTATGGTTGTATATACTGTAGTGAACATAGTAGTATCTACCCGACTGTAGCTGCTACCTTGACGCGGTGGTCGGGCTTGCCTATCGTGATTACCCAACCGAGCTATTATGTCTGGAACATATGTTCTTGTAGGTTCTACCATGCTAGGCAGGTCGATTGGAGAACGGTAAGACTAAAAGCAGCAACTCAAGGTCTGAGGGCGGATTCGTACTGCTGACTGTAGAGGGGTGTGACAGCAGTAAGGTGTTTCCCTCGGAAAACCAGCATCTGCAGCGATGCAGCCTTCTCACAAGGAAGGAAGGGGTTAGAAAAGGTCGACCCTAAAAATATCACAACTCACCTTACCTCACAGATTTTCGTCTCCGGCGGTAAGACCCTTTGAAGAACGGAGCTAACACGTCAAAAACCTTCCTCAAAAGGTCGTGCGCGGCCGGCCTCAAGCAGTTGTCCCTTGGGCTCTGCGGTCACGCCCCCAGGTCTTTAAGACCAACACTAATTCAATTTCCTTTCCAGGTTCCTCAAGAAATACCCTTCCACGGTGTGGGCAGCCGGGAGGTGACACCAGCCCTCATACCCGTAACAGCACACGAGACCAAGTTGGTCACATTCAAATTCTTCTTACACCTCCTAATATCTCTCTTATTTCCCCGACTAACCTTTCTCACGTTCTTTTATCAGCTCGTACCGCTAGCGCAAACGATTCGAGTACGCGGAACGTTACACCTGGTCTCCTGAAACCACGCTCTAAACTTCATGTTAGAGCTTATAACGTCCGAACACTGTGCCAAATAGGACAACAAGCTTCCTTAGCTAGGCTATTTAAAATCTCGCGCCATCGATGTGTGCTGTGTCTCCGAAACGCGCATACAGGATCCGAGTAGCGTCATTCATTTGACCTCACCATATCAAAATAAAGAACCAACTCGATTCACACTTTGTGTATCTGGGAGCCCTGATGCTGCTTCTCGTGGCCTCGCCGGCGTAGGTATAGCATCGAGTCCTAGGGCAAAACTAGCTCTCTTAGACTGGATCCCAGTAGACAGTCGTTTGTGCGCTGTTCGACTAAACGGAACAGTAAGGACTCGGAAAGATAGGGACACTTGTCGTTGCCTCTTCGTCGGCTCTGCCTATTCTCCCACTGACTGACTGAGTATCTAACTAGGTGAATGTTCGTCTTAAAGCACATAGGGTTCTAAACCCCTTATCTGCAACCTCCTGGCAGTGGGCCGTGGTCTTAAGATCATGACTCACTGTGACTCCATGATCCTTGTGAGACCGGACCACGGGTACAGACACTTCCTCTATACTGTACCTATTTACCTTTACATCCCCAAAGTGCATGTAGATACACTTTGCCACGTTGATAGGCATCAGCCTCTCTTTAGACCAGCTAATCACAATATTTAAGTCTGCCTGAAGTGCTCATGCATCTGTGTCTCCCGTTATTTCTCTCCAGGTTTTTACATCAGCGTATAATAACTTGAGGGATTCAACTATACTTGGGAGATCATTTACATACAGTATAAAAAGTAAGGGGCCTAGGACTGAACCTTGAGGTACTCCACTAAGTACTGTTCTCCAGGTGGAGAACTTCGAATTCACTCTTACTTTCTGTCTACGACCTACTAAGAAATCAGTGTTCACAAACTAGTGTATATGTTCGCTGATTTTATTAGTTGTTCATGGTCACTTAGAAGTATATCCACATTTGACCTTGATAATTACATTTTCACACCATCTATGGCAAGTACTCCGACTAAATATTTAGTGTTAGTCGTGATATTTATTTTAATTGAGCTCCCAGTCTTAGCTTTCGAACTCTGACTTTGTTACTTCTGAGGTATCATAACGTTTATGAAAACTAGCTGTCACCTCTTTGATCGTATCACTTGCTGAATGTTTAGAATTATGCATTTAACATTGTACACATACAGAGCCCCATATTTATGTGTCACTGATATTCTTACAAACACTGGCTTCTGCTAACCTTTATGTATTTCTTGACATAATATTCTGTCTTCAGTAACAAGGATAGTGGATTGGTTGACTTGCGTTAACCCTTGTGGTGTTTCCCGGTTGAGATCCAGCTCCTCTGAGAGCTCATTGATATTGCCGATACCACTGTCCAGGTAGGGGGTTCCAATCGTTTACCACTCAGTAAGGGAAACAGAATCCCATCCTGAGTCTATTCGGTTGCAGCTTATGAACCTTTTTCTATTGCAACTGGGCTGTTCGTCTCTAAAAGTAGCAAAATAGCAAATCTACACTCGAATCACTATTTAAAATACGAAATTCCGATATAAGATCGCCTTGCATTCTGCCACAATATAAGAAGAAAAGGTCTGAGTAGAGGTCTGTCATTAACTTAGTTCCCTGAAGTTGTATATACTAGGGTGTGTCAGTACCCTTAAAAAGACACGAATTAGCTGTTTGGATACAGTATTCTAAACGAAGTCTTACATAAGTGGATTAGGTAACCCGCAAGATGTTTCTTTATTTGAACACATAAATATCGGTACAAAGGGGCACAGAATACATACGTGCCATATAAGCCACTTGATTTGTGTGTGGGCTGTGATACTGCCCGGGTGCCCAGATCGGAGCAGGTGGATTTCAGAGGGAGCCACACCCAAAGTCTTCGACCTGAAGGTCTGACCCACAAGGCAGTGGAGCAGCGTCAGGGGATGCAGTCACATGGAAGCCAGTGACCAGCAATTGGTTCATACGACATTTGTTCCTTCAAGATCCTGTGGCTCATGTGCACCATTGGTTTGGAATCAGGGTTCTCCAACTCCCCTAGATGTACCCTCAATATCCATGAGCGTGGTTAAAGCGCCATACATTCACTTCTCGTCCTCTCAATTTCGTAAACAAAAGCCGCGGTGCGAGGTAGTGAGTAGTACTTCTCTGGCAGTAGTTGTATACGTTTGACCATATGAGAGCATTTCGAGGAGAGCTAACTCTCCAGCGTTGGCCGTATCAGGGCATTTGGGAGCATCTTTGTCAAAGCACTTAAAACTGGGGAGTGGCCATAACACTCGAAAACCTTCAATAGATCCTGCCTTGTAGTGCACAGTTGTTTTCAAGAAATGACTTTCAGTTATTCATGGATCTTTTCACCTAGTTCGAGCTGATTGCATCTTTTTCCACCTACTTTTCTCCTAACCATTTGCATTGAGATATTCTTTTATTCTGTCTGTTGATACTTATCGCGGTTTCAGTGCTGATAGTTGTCATCATCATTCCAACAGCTCTCAATATAGCCTTAATGTCAGTTCTCTTCTGCCTAAGTTATTGCTTTAAGAAAGCTGTCACTGAATGTAATAAATGATGTAAATATTTCAAGTGTATGTGTACCGTTTATTCCCTCATCATTTAACGTTCCCCTCTAATGTTCGGTCTGGGCCACCCGGGCAGTATCATAGCCCACGCACAAATGAAGTGACTTGTGTGGAGCATATGTATTCGGTTCCCCTTTATACCAATATTTATGTGCTCAAATAAAAAATAAATAAAATCTTTGTCTTATAAACTCGTGCTCATTATTCCAGTAGAGTATTTCTAATCCATTCATTCTCTGTCAACTTTTAAAGTATTATAAGTGTATTTATCCTGGGATATCATGGTGTCGCCGTCGAACTAAGCCGTTGGGCCGAGGTTATCTCAGTTACATCTCCATCAACCGTTATTTATTTTGCTAAGTCAATATATATACAAAAACTAAAAAGAATGTCGTTTAATTGCCTCTTTACGCCTCTACAAATTGGATACAATATGCTCTTAGTAGTTAGCTTTGTGAACAACTTAATAAATATTGCGCTTACATCTAGGGACTTGAATGGACATATCTGGTGTTTAAGTACAAAGAGTACCATATATGTAGTTGGTAACTTGTATGTATCTATTATTCACTCTTTTCTTTACTAATTTTAATCTTGTTCAATTGGTTTGCTGTTTTAGGAATTATCTTCAACACTTTGGATAAAATGTGGCAGTCTTATTTTCTTGACATGTCAAACCTCCTGCCTAATTTTATTGATGCGTGTTTCACGTTCAGTTCAGAATTCGGAGTTATACTCAGCTTCAACGGTTGTTGTATGTAGTGAATTTCTAAAACTTCTACTGTCGATATTTTTGGTTTTATCCCAAGAAGGTAAATGCCATTTAATGAGCATATTTCTTTAAATATTTTAATTGTGCTAGTTTCTAAGAAATGTTTCGCTTATTGATCGTGCACGTAGCTTTATCCACTGACTTGCTCCACTTTCACGTTAATTTAGACTCACACATTCAAGCAAATCACTTATGTGTATTTATAATATTGTTTACCTGTTTCAATTCAGTTAATTAGTAGTACAATACTTAACAAAATTATGTGTATACTAAAACTGTGATAGGAAACGCTAAATATGTTTGTCGGTACCCAGTGTAATTGTAACTTTAGTTTTCTAAAGGTCTTTTTCAAAGCATTGACTTAACATTTAACTCCTAAATTGTGCATATTTATCAGGTGAGGCTCAGTAAGTTTTTTCACAGATTGAATCAAATTTCGACAATATTAAGCGCTTCCAGCATACACGGATTCCAGTAGTACAATAATTCATTAGTCATTTTATTCTGTTTAGTACCATTCCAAAAGCGCATGTGCAACTATTTTCTGCAATAAATAGTCAGATAAGCGAATCCAGATTAAAACCCACATTGTGTTGTAACATCGTTTGTCTCAAACTGAAGAAATTTACACAAATGATAACGAAGTCAAAGTCGTATACCTAACTTCATGAATAGTTTGTACAAATTGTTAAGAAAAAGACGCAAATTCAATGAATTCATTTAATTCTCTGCTTCCCCTTCAGTTCCAAATAACCTTGGCTTCTGTCATACTTCGTAGGTTGTTCAAAACCCGAGAAAGATTGACTCGCAAGGAGCAGGCTTGTTTTCGTTCTGGTCTTGGATGTATTGATCACATTTTCACCCTACGCTAAATGTTAGAACACCGTCATACTTATCAAAGGCCAACAATCGTAGTGTTTCTTGACATCAGGGCTGCCTTCGATTCGTTGGACAAAACCGTTCTCTAAGATTGTCTATTGAAGAAGAGTGTGTCTGAAAAGTTTATTAACATCTTAAAAGCCCTATATACAAAAACCTCAGGTAGAGCAAGGGCATACAACCACCTCTCCATTGTTCCATTCAAGCAGTGGGGTTAGACAGGGTTGTCCAATCTCACCATTCCTCTTCAACTTTGCCATCGATGACATTCTGGAAACAGCTGTGATGGATGTAAGTAATGGCGGTGCGGATCTGCTGCCCGGAGAAAGACTTCTCGACCTTGAGTATGCGGACGATATTGTCCTACTGTGCGATAATGCCCAAGGCACGCAATCCGCACTTAATCAGTTGGCAATCAATGTCCGTAGGTATGGTATGTGCTTTGCAACTTTGAAGTGCAAAGCTCTTCTACAAGACTGACAGGGTTGTAATCCTGTACTCACCCTGGATGGTGAGCAGATAGAAGTAGTCGACAAGTTCGTGTATCTAGGTAGCTGTATAAGTGCTGGTGGGGAGTGTGAGTGATGAGATCAATGCACGTATAATGAAAGCCAGAGCGGTTTATGCCAATCTGGGCCATCTTTGGCGCCTTCGTGATGTTATTCTGGCTGTAAAAGGTCGGATCTACAACGCGTCGGTGAGAGCAGTTTTGTTCTATGCTTGTGAAACCTGGCCTCTCCGAGTCGAGGGCGTTAGACGACTCTCTGTGTTCGATCATCGTTGTCTCCAAAGGATTGCTGACATCCAGTGGCAACACCATGTTAGTAATGCAGAGATTCGGCATCGTGTGTTCGGGTGTCACCATCTTGAAACACCGACTTCGATGGCTTGGACATGTTCTACAAATGTCGTCGCAGAGAATTCCACGTCGTGCATTATTTGCCAACGCTGGGACTGGTTGGAAAAAGAGGAGAGGTGATCGATGTATGACAAGGTGTCGTGGTATGAAAGAAAGCTCTAAAGAACTGGCTTCTGTTGGTCCTTCACGACTCCTTGGCTGGGGTCCGAGAGATAGCGCAACACAGTGGCTAGAGGCGTTATCAGATATGGCTCATAATAGAAGCCAGTGGCGATCCTGCTGTAACCCTTTACTTTCTTCATAAAGAAATATGGTTGTTTCTTCCTTAACTGTAAGATTTCTTCTGATTGTACCTTTCCGTTCCCCCATTATTACCACTATTATTATTACACTACCTCACACCAATCTCTTCCTTATTGTTCTTTTTTACCCTCCTTACCTTTTTTTTCTCTTTCCTTCTCTTTAAATTCTCACTGTTTCGTATGGCGCATATATATTTGGCGCACTCTTGTACCAATATATATGTGTTCAAATAAATAAATTCAAATAACCTAAAATTATGGTAAATCATTATATCTAGTAATATATGTTTCCATGTCTATTACTTACAATACATCCTAGTCTTAATTTATTTACTGCTGAAGGAAATTTGTGGAGTAAGATATATTCATCGGGCTCTCTAAGCCTGTTTTTTTATAATGAAAATCTAAAACGAGAGGTCGTGAAATACAAAAGCCGTTTCTTGTTATTTATAAAATAGGTAATAATTATTTTGTTTTAGAATCACTAATATATTGGTAGACAAAAGCATCTAAGTAGACGTTCTTGAATATTGAGTGCCACCTAGATACTACTTTCAGGTTTGTGTACCCAGGCCATGAATTCATATATAGGCTATATGCATGCCCAAGACTCGATAATTAAAGTTCATTTCCAACTTAAAGTATAGAAATAAATTCCCTGAACTCACCAAACCACAGCTTGACCTTTTCAAAAATGTCATCGGAATAAATTTACATGTTTATTCTGTGACTACATTTTCTGAATTCATTATCAAACTCTTGACTGTTTTTTTTCTTTATACTTCAGGTGAAATTAAACGTAGTATTTCATCAATATATAATCAAATAATTGTTCAGTATAATGATATGATTCAAATTTTAATTCCCTCAACTCTTTATATTGTACAGAATAATTTACTATATTTTGCCATTTCACATTTGAATGCCGTTTTATATCAGATACTTTATCAGAGTAAAATATTCACTACTGCTATATTTATGATACTATTATTAAATCACCGCCTACGTCCAACTCAATGGTTTGCTCTCTTATTACTCAGTACAGGTATTATCTTAACACAGGTAAGGTTTCACAATAAATACCGTATACTCTGCTATTTTCTGCAGTGGTGCTTGCTCTCCAAGTAGTATAATTAGCCTCATTCTGTTGAAAGCTTTTCTCTTTGTAGTTAAGTGTTCTGTGATGGTTGTGATAGGCCTGACATTGAAACATGAAACACACCCTATCGCCTGAAATGTTTAATTTCTATACGTTCGTTTTTTTTTCTAAGTTACTCCATGTTTCAACTTAGGTTGACGCACATTTATCTCAGGTTTTATGTTGATTATAGAGTGAATATTCCAAGTTTATCACTCTTTTGGAGACTATAGATGCTTGAATTTATGGGTCACTCAGGACCTGATGCAAATGTGCTCTGCTTAAACCTACAGTCATAATCAAGAATAAAACTGACCTACAGGCATTTCATATTGATGAAACATTGTACTGTATAAACCTTGTAATGATTTTGATGTTTCTTAAGATTCTGGGAATATTGATGAACAGTATAAAAAATAACTACTGCATGTTTTTTTGCTTCTAATCCACTTTACAAATGAAGTCCAAAATTTTGAATGCAATGTAACTAAAATAACACAAATTTAGAGCAATCAAATTAGCATTACAACAGTTTAAAATGGTTCATTCTAATTGTATTGACAAACCTCACTATACTATACATAATCAAAATTGACACAAGATCATGTTTCGAAACGCTTTCCAAATCTACATCATATGTTGTCGTCCAAATAAGTGTGTAGTAGGGTATTTTTATTCGTTGGGTAATGACCTTTGCTAGTCTCAGGTCTAAAGCCAACATTTTTATGGTTGTACTCGTGTTAGTCGACTGAACGTTATACAGAAGTGTAATCACTATAGTTTTTGCAAAAAAGTAACGTTTTAATCTACATCGAAGCTCAAATACAAAAATCGTATCATAAATTCAGTCATTGTTTCTATGCTTGCACGTTTCGTTATTCATGTTCATCTAAATGTTAGACCGAAACATACATGGTAATCTCCAATTTTTTGTCTTTTATAATCAGATTCTCCTATACATAAAATACTAACAGTCTCATTTGTAGCCTCATTGGAAGTAATCCTATTTAATAACTAACTCTTGATACTGAAATCTAACCATTCTGATCAAATTATTACTTGTTTTATAAAGCTTTTGTATAATAAAATATTTTTCCCGATTCTGAAAGTCGTAAAGATGTAACGTCCCCATGCGGTAAAAAAATTTGTAAATAATGACTTGATCCACTTGCCAGGCACGTAATTACGTGCGACGGTTAGTGATAATACATCTCTTCCCAAATCTTATGACCTAGTGGTTGAAAACCGACTGTTTGAACCATTAAGCCTATTACATACATAATCTTAGCATTATAACTATTTGAAACATTTTAACATTATTTATTGTGAATTATTCTTTTTCTTGCTATAACTCTTAGTTGCCTTCATTAGATCAATCAACATCGAGCAGTGAATTCCATTCAAATTTTTATGGGTTGTTGGCAATTTTATTGGCTTCTTTTACTAGCGGCTTTGCTGGTGTTTACCTTGAGAAAATATTTAAAGGAACGTCAACTTCGATCTGGATGCGAAATCTACAGTTAGGTGAGACAGAAAACATTGGTTAATATGAATCATATTAAATATATAACATTGGCTAATAACCTGGTCTTTTATAACTTGCGAATTTTTTGGTCAAATCTATTAAGGGAACAGCAAGATAAAGGGTACTAATAGGATTCGAGTACATATATACATGAGGAAGAGAATGATTCATCGAACGCTATTTAAGATATTGACATTTAAGCTAGAGAGATTTGTGCGTAGGCTGCCATGTGATCAAGCGTACACGTCTATACAGATAAGACAATGATCATAATAAAACAAATAAATAGACGAACCATTACTGTTAGAAAAAACATTGTCTGTTAAGTTAATAAAAGGGTTCAACATAGTTGAAGTCGACTGTAGAAAAGTCGCTGTATGTCCTCACCACTCTTTTTAGCATCTTCAGCGTCCAAATATTCCTTATTAGCTTTTCCAAAATTTGTGAAAATCTCTATCTTGATGATAAGGAAAAATCCTACATTTTGCTGATAAATGCGTTGCACATACTTTTGATAAGATCTGTCATAATAATCTTTCTTGACCCTATATTCGACTTTCGGTAACCTTTAGTTGTTGCCTGTGAATAAAAGTTGACAAATGCTTGGTGAATATATTTAATTGTCGTCAGTTTCCTCAACAACAAAAAACATGTAGTACGGCTAAGCAATGGTCATGGTTCAATTTTGTTCGTCAATTTTAATACACTTCCCTACTACTTTTGATATGACCCGTTTTGTAATACACAAACTTGTATGTAGTTAAGGTATGAATACTGTTTGGCTTGCTAGACTAATAAATAATCTCACTATATTTCAAACTGTGCCATTCAATTAAACTGATAATGGATATATTTGTGCGTAGATCTAATCGGTCACCCTTGTGACTATGCAACACTCGGTTGTAGGTCTTAAGTTTTATAGCGATGCGACTGCAACTTCCAATCACCATAATTCGGGTGACAATCATTACCCATGATTTGCGCCACTAATCTAGACTTAGATACTTACTGAGATCATTGAGATGCTAAGCTTACGCACTGACTCTTGACTTTTGACAATGCATCCTTATAGATACTAATATTCACTAATGAATTTCCTTCTATATTTTAGGTCTCTTCGGCGTGCCAATCGGTCTGTTTGGAGTCTTCATTAACGATGCATCAAGAGTCAAAACTCTGGGTTTTTTTTACGGTTACACACCTATCGTTTGGATTGTAGTTATTCTTCAGGCGTTTGGAGGGCTAGCAATAGCCTTTGTCATGAAATATGCTGATAACATTTTGAAAGGTTTCTCTATGGGTCTATCAATGATTCTGTCATCTCTCATATCTTATTTCCTGTTTGATGACTTTACTCCAAACATGTAAGAAATAGCACAATATTGTTTTCTTCAACCTTCAGTACGTAGTTCAGTAAACATTACTTTTAAATGCTGTTCATAATGTGGGAGCGCCTTAAATACAATCAATGTATTTGTAAGTCTGTCTTTTTTATAAAACAGACTTAGCTAACCCGTCTGATGATGTCAAGACAATGAAGTATCCTTAGTCATTTGTACACACACGAAAGTTTGTTTAAAATATATCCATTTACTAAGAATGTCACAGGTACCTAGAATCCATCATTAATTTGACAAGTTTTGTTTTACAGACATTACCCACTCACTGTCTTACAGAACACTTATATAGTTAAAAAAAAATTCAATGTATCATGTATTTAAAACGTCGTAGGTTGAATTTCTGATTTGTTTCATGTTGCAAAAAGGATACGTTATTAATAAAATCATATTAAGTGACAGTGATATATTTCACTTTATTGTTTGATCTACATTATAGACATCCAATATTAACACCTTAATTGATTCTCTTAAACAAAACTAATATTCATAAATTCATTTTCATTTAGGTATTTATTTGTCGGATCCATATTAGTTATCAGTGCAACGCTAATATACGGTCTCCCGGCAAAGTATGACGCAGTCTACCCAAACGTAAACAAAGCATAAACTTGCAGGAAATGTTACATCAACATAGTGATAACAATCAAAATGTAAAGTGTTTTTTTCTGGAAAAATAAAAATGACAATCTGTTATAACGCTCGGATTTCCTTTGTCTTTACGAATGGGACGCTAATTTTCCGTAGACGTATATCTCCATTAGATTTCCTCCCGGTGTCTATTCTACAGGACTTCAACACAACTCAGATCAAGAACACGTGATTAGTCTGACTGAAACGTAAATATATTTACACCAAAAACCGACAACAAGCCGACACAATCCAGCAACAATCGATAATAATAATAACGATAAGAAAATATATAACTTATCTAACGCCTGTCAGACTATCTACAACCAATCATTCTCACCCACACGTCACAATCTTATAAAATATCTACGGCGTTGTACAAGTGTTCATTGATTGAGAATGCTGAGGAACAGTGATTTCATTATCACTGGTATCATAAGTATGGAACTCCGTAGGACTTTCCTGTCTTTGGAATACTGATAATGCGGGTACAGAGTACTTTTCTGCTGCCGCCAACGCTAATTCCTCTGCATCTTTTGGTGAATGACCATTATCCAGCTCAGAAAAGTACGTGACAGTAAATGCTAAACCATCATGCATGATATTATGGATAGGGTCTAAGTCGACCAGTTCATTACCTAATTCTTCACCTAATACATCGACAGCAGGTGATGGATGAGGAAGATCATATTTTTGGTGTGATTCAACACGGCAACGAGGAGAATGTTGTGCTACGCTCAATCCGCTTAAAGAGTAACACGTGTGATACGCATCAGGGTTTTTTCCAGGTTTATCAATTAATCCACCATCAGAAGTAGATACATCGTATTCAGACGTGAAATTTTTATTTGAAGACAATTTTTCACCAGAAGAATCATCTGCATGCACACTCAGACCTGGACGAGTGTAAGAAACCTTTTGGCAGCAGAGCAGTATATATTCCTAGTAAAGAATAAAATTATGAATTGATAAATTTTCATAGTTTCTGGTTCTTGAAAACTATCACAACTTTTATTAGATAAATTAATATCAAATATTGAGTAAATGACTATTTAATCAAGTAATTTACAGGAGATTTAACCCATTTTGCAGGTAGTTTCTAGTAATTAGAGAAGCAGTTAACCCTAAGACAACAATCGACACATAAGATTCTGGTGATGAGCACTATAACAACCAATCAACGAGTACAAATAACTGCTTAGTCGCGATTCAGTAATATATATCATTATCTTAATACGTAATTGTTGTGTCAAATTATGGTTAGAACGTAAGTGAATATTTGTTAATCTATTCAATTTGAATAAATCTAATACAGGTTTAATAATTAATGGGATATGCCATAAAAATTATTAACTTCTTTCATTGTAAGGATGAATTTTTCCAAGGTGACATAAGAAACCAACTTTAAAATATTCAGTAATATATCTTTTCAATAAATATTCTAAACTGATGAAAACTAATTTCAAAAGGATTAGGTCAATAGCCTGGGCAGAAAGGTATATTTCAGTGAATAAACTTGTATTGCCTGTATTAGTACTAACATATCTTGTTTCTTTTCGTTACGCTACTAAAATGATTTATTTGGTCTTTGGAAAATCCAGGAATTGGCATAATGGGTCGGGACCATAACAGCAATCTAGGAAATAGCCTACTATTATATCTATCTGCTACATCCATAGGATTATAGTTCAGCTTTAAAAAAAGTTATCACACGGGCAGGATGATTATCATTTGTCAAACCATTTTCTAAGTATAGAGATTAAGACTAAAAAAGAACGTTTTACTCATCGATAAGTTCATCATAGTGGTACTTTAAGCTGTTAAATAAATTTTCATGAATACAAACAGACTGAATGAATTATGTCAACTAGACAGACATGAAACAAACACATTCAAGATTATACCACAGAACCACGAACACTAGAGCATGGTGCTGAACTTAAAAACAAAAAGTTATCACGTTTTTATTATATCGGCAAATCATAGTTACTTTCCAACTCAATAGTCGTCCCTACTTAACGTAACGACTGAATCGAGTTATAATTTCTGAAGTACTTCCTGCTTCAATTCATGTCATGATATGCAACTTTACTGAAAGCAGAAAATTCTGAGTGGTAGTGAAACTGTCCTGCCAGGTTTAATGTGTCCTAATAGCAGTGTAATATTTCTGACGCATAGCCGGCACTTTCAGTGTGGCTGCTTTCTTGTAGACGAAGAGAGAGGTTATAAAATATCAGCCATAAAAATGCTTTTTAGTGCCAGTGATAAGGTTGAAAAGCCATGGAGATAATGCTACACAACCAAAAACAATAATTTGCGAGAAGGCTATTGTTTATGTTTCGTTAACATCCTTTGAAGCTAATAAGACCACAAATATCAGTTTCCAGATATGAGCAGTCGAGAAGTGTCAGTTCTTGGCACATGTTCAGCATCATTCATGTTCATTCTGCTTACCCTTAACCCCTTTCTTCGTTTCCGTTTTATATTTTTATTACCAACCCTTTTTAATTAATACTCAACAACCACTAACAAATGCATGTTGGAGCTTTTATTGTCTGAATCCCGAGTCTTGAAAATTAGATCACATTATCCGAAATTATTTTTTCTACTCCTGAAACCAAGTTGAAGAGGCTTAGCTTCGTTAATCAATCATCTTGATAACTATTATTATATAAATCCCAAAGGCAATAGAAAGCGGCGACTACAGTTTATTAGCGGATAACAAAGTTATAAGCACATCGAACGAATTCGAAGCAGAGGTGAATATGTGTGTGGGCGAGAGAATACAGAGGCGAATTCATAGTCAAATCGAATCAAGGAGAAGACTATTAATATGATTCGAGCACATGTATACATGGGGGGGAGAATGATTCATCGAACGATATTTAAGCTAGAGAGATATGTGTGTAGGCTGTCATGTAGTCAAGCATGCACATCCCTTGCACAAAGTAGGACAAGTGAGTCATGTTGATTCTGAACGTAAATCACTAGGTAGAGGTAATAAATTGGAGTTTTGACGGTTTATACGCAAAATTAGGTGGGATGTGTTACGTATGACCAGAGCTACAGGTTACCTCTGCAATGTATGTTGAAATGATTTTCACGTTGTAATAAGACTAAGGGGGTATAACTAATATATGGCACCGGTCCGGGAAGTCAATGACTGCCGCTCTGAATTGTATAAAGAGATATGGCTTTCTTAATAGGGGACCCCGAGATAATTGTAATTAATATTTGGAGACTAAATTTCAAATATTGTATTATTCCATACTTCTTATATTGACTTATTTCCTTGTTTTTAACTATTCACTCGTGCCAACGAAACGACATTCGTTCTTTTGACTCTTTCTGATTCCTCATTGTGTTAAGGTGTTGTAACTTGGGATGATAAACACTTGGGCTAGGAGCAATATTATTTACGTTTGTATGTATAATGTGTAACTGAAATGAATACAGATTTGCGTACACGCTTTCTAATCATGCTTAAGTGTGCAAAACATATTAACACTACTGGATTGTTTACTCGAAGTAGGAGTTCAAAAAGTCATTTTATGCTTTAAAGTAGGATAATTTAACCAACAATTCATTAGATATTTGTACATTTTTCAGTGACACCTCACTGTTGTGTATGGCGTTTTAAAGTATGAACAAACGAATTCTGAGACTAAAAACCTACCAAAATGTTACATGCCATATTTCAAATACAACATAAATTAACGAAACTTACTTGCAAGGCAGAAGGGTTAAACAACGTATCAATGTCGTTAAGCGCAGGGTCGCCAGACAGCCATAACAGTTCTTCGACAATTGGGAAAATAGCACCTTGCCAAAAAGAGTAGCAACTGTCCACTAACTTATTTGTTCTACCCTTGGAATAAAGATCAACAAGTTATTAACGGGACGAAAATATTTTACGTTGCAGCTTAATCTGTGACTGTTTTAAAAATTCAAGTATAAGTCGAAAGACAGCATGATTTAGTCAATTTAAATGTTATGAGTACGGTGAATCAACTGAATATAATTTAAAAATTATAAATACAACCGGTGTAAAAAGGACAGATTACAATTAGACTAATATAATAGGAAAAACAGCATGAATTAACCAGTAACATCACTGTAATCTACAAGTTATAGATAGAAAATACCAAACGAAGTCTAATAAGGAATTTACTGATATGTAGATTACAGGATCATAGACATTTCATGGCAAAAGTTGGCAATTTCGACAACCATTCTTGTTTCAAGTCAACGGGACATTTTACCTTGATAATTAATCATAAATGGTATTTCGAACATACGAGACTAACTTTTAATAACTCTGCTACATTAATTCTCTAAAAGATCGTTTCGGTACAAACTGATTACAACAAAAATATTTACATAACACAGAATTTATCAAATGGTAACTAGCAGTGAAGTTGAAGATATGCATGTTGTCCTAATTGACAGTTACTTGTGTTAATATTTTCATTGAAACAAGGAATAACTACCTCAGTTGAAACTTTAATTTCATGACAAAATTATCAGATAACTAAAATCTATGAAATTTTATGATGAAAATGTATTAATAAGGTCTTATAAAATCACCAATATAATAAATTCCATTTATAAGCATAAGGAAATCAATTAAATGATAATGAAATGTACTTAAGTGTGAAGTAATTACCTGTTTGCTTATTTAATGTCATAAATGGTTTTCAAAAATAGTTCATTTGAGTATTCTTTTTTCAGTTTTTTTTGTGTGGTCTAACTTTTGATAAAACGCTTAAACTCATTTATATTTGCAATTAGATATACTTAAATTGACCTATATACATTTTATTTACTAATATTTAGTAGTGGAGATTCTCATACGATAGAAAAAGACCATCTGAGGATTCATTTGTCTGGGCAATCTACTGTTAACCACTCGGTTACAATTTTAAGCTAAGTTGCAGAAGTCAGTGTTTGAACAGATATTACATGATAATGGACTTGATTACTCATCGTAATTACTTATCCATTTTTGTGCGTAAAAACACAAAATGAAAAACATCCCTTACCTGAAAACCACCTTCTGTCGCCATTTGACGATGGCTAACCCAATACAATAGTTTAGGTAAATTAATTAAATCTGACCTTCCCAAAAGGCACAACGTTGCTACCGCACAGAAGGCATAACCACCATGAGCCTCCAATCCAGGTTGACCGCCGAAACCACCTTCATACGTCTACAATAAAAGTATATATATGCACAGCAAAATCTGCTAAGATTATGAAAGTGAACTTGGAAGCAATTTACGTTTCTCTATAAGCTTTTATTAGTTATTTGCGTGACGAACTTCTGAGTAGATCACATAAAAGACATCTCTTTCCACTTTTTCACTATATATTATTCAATTAAAGTTAATGTAATTGTATTGTGAATGAATCAAAGAATAACACTAGTCTGAGCAAGCGTTTAACTTTCCTGAAACATAAAATATTGTTAATATGATTAAATAAGCCAAATGCACAATCTTAAAGTTATTACATTCTAGCTTTAAATCCATTGTTCCTACTTTGGTTTGAGCAGCAATTTGCTATGTACAACATCAAAATAAGTGTAATCTAAAGTTTTATGTTGAAACAAACTTTTTCTATACTGCTGAGTTGAGTCGGCGATAAAAAGGAATTGCTGATTTGTCCACTGACTGCATGGATTTAGAAGAGATCTTATTGGATTGAATTAAAAATCTGGCAAAATTGCTAGCATAAACAATTATTTATTTATGAAGAATAGTTTCCTATTATATATTAGTCCCAGATATATAAACGCTTTTCATGCAGAAAAGAGGTACTGAATCACATATTTGGAATAATTAATCCCAGTAGCACGTAAAAATAGCTCACCTGACAACTAGCCACCCACTCTGCAGTCGATTCAAACAAATCAGGATATTTTTTAAGCAACCCAGTAAGTTTTGCAACTGCTGTGGCACAGTAGGCACCTCGAACATCAGCTTCACCTCCCAAATGCATTAAAAATGAGCCGTTTGGCTGATGAAGTTTCCGCATCCAGTCAGCCAGTGTATCCCGATTGATAATATCTAGGGCATCTCGACGACATAAAGAAGCCAAACAATTAACTGCACCATATGAAGTTGCAAGATGTGCAAATTGGTAAGGCCCGCCACCAAAACCACCGTCCGGATGCTATAGATAGAAAAAACAAGGAATTTGGTGAACAATAAGTGGTGAGACTAAATTACAAAACACAGAGTTAATTCAGATGCCAGTTATAAAATCCCCAAGGAAATACCAAAAGTTTTTTGTAATAACAATTAAAAGTTAGTAGAACACGAACCATTACGAGATGATAGTATTCTATTATTTGTTGTTTATTTGAAATTTCACACATTCCTTTTAGTAGTTTTTCAAACTACTGAAACTAACTTGTTGGGACATTTTTAAAGTATGTGAAATTTATTTGATCTGAATTATAATTTTATCAATAGTAATAACGAAGAATTGCTAACAGAGTGGTAATATACATAATATAAAGCAAATTTGATCAAACGTATAACCTCCGAATGACTGAATACAATTGGGTCCCCATTCAACATTAGACTCAAAATTCGATAAAAGCATTTTTTAACCTAACAAAATCCAATAAAAATTAGAGCAATAAACCCTTTTATAAGATTTGATAGGGTAATGAAAAGACAGTTGATTTAGAAAGTGTGATGTACTACTTGCATTTGTGAACACTAACTACCACAATTTGTACTAGTGTTCTGGCTTTTTTTCTCGACAGCGTAATTCCAAAGAGACTGTTAAAATTCCCTGGTTACTACCGTTTACTAGCACTTCACGGACTAAACAATCATTTGCACATTAAACTATCTACAATTGAGTGCCTCTCCATAACATACATTCCATCCATTATCCCACGTATACTATCTAATTTTACCTCAAATAAACCGAAAGCTAACTTGTGAACCTCAAAACCAGAACAAACTTTTAATTATCTTGGCATCTCTCTAGACATACTCTAAACATAATTTAAGCGGACTTTGACTGCCTTCAGGATTATGAAGTAAAACATGCGAAAAAAGTAGATGTGTGAGCACTACGAAAGTTAACACAATTATGATCATTTAGAGCGAAAAACGCTTAGGTAGGAATTCTCACCATATCAAAACTATGATTACACATAGGTAGTTTATACTCGCAAACCTAGGACAGTATCGCACAAACCCTTTCACACAATACGTATTGCGTCATTCTCCAAAAGCATATTTTTATATTAACTCAATTTGAAATTGTTTGGATTATCGAGTTGTTGCTATTTGGACTGAAACTCGATCAGTCTTGGTTGGCATATGCGTATTCTGCCCGGATTGCCTCCATATAGCAATTGAAACAAGTCAGTATGGAGTAAATGGAATATGGCTAGCAGTAGAATCCAGGACGCGTGCTTTTTCCCGCTTGGGACTCGTCAGCTAGATGTTAACGAATCAGAGTTGATGCCCACTCAAGGACACTAACCCCGTACCATTCGCTTTGAACGCCGCTGCGTTGTCCACTCAGCTAATGAATCCAGAGGACTTTGTACATGCTCTAAACTCGAACACTATTGGTCGAGTCAGAGCTTATGTGGAACTTTCATAAGAGTTGGTTACTCCAAGCGGTGTTCGTCGATTGTGTCCACTTTCCTGTTTTTTTTAACCTTTACATAGACATGCTTTTAGAGATAACGCTTTCATCGTCTCATTTCAGGGAGTTGTTCTTTTACCATGAGGTTTACTTGCTGACTTAGAATACACAGGCAGCACAATTCTGTTTGGTAGAGACGCTGACAAAATACAGTCTTTTGACCACCCTAAGCAAAAATACAAGCATATTAGAGATGCGATTCTCTCCCTCTAAATGCGAAATATAGCTTCAGGACCGACCGGCAAAATCTCCTGAATTAACAACAGGGAATGAAGTAGTAGAGTGTACAGACCACTTCATTTATCTTAGGAGTCCCATTAGTGTTGATGAGCTGGTGTCTGGTGAGATATCAGAAACCTCGGTTTACCTTTTGAGAACTTAAATCGATTGTACCATGGGCGAACTGTCTATCTGTCAACTGTGAGGAAGCTCAGAAAGAGCCGAGGACATTCCACTCAATCATCTTTTGGAAGAACATTCCAGAACCGCTACGTATAGCTTCCCTATTGGATAAATTCTAAAAACCACTGTATGCGGATTGGATGACTATAATAACTTCGCTTCCACTAAAAATTATAAATACCTGAGAGTTTCGTATCATATTTGATACCGTTTGGAATAGCATTCCTTCTCACTAGTCTTCTGTTGTTTTTTTTCATTTTCGACTTGGATGGTTTTAGCGTCCGAGTGCTTAAGTTGCACGCGGTATACCAAGAATCTAAGCCCTAGATATAACAACTGGCAACAGGGATGAGATTTGAACGGACCACCTGTAAGACCCTTTTGATTTAGGTTCATCTACTGGGTTAGAGTTTCTAGAATACGAATCTGGAACTGTTTGTAACGCTTTTCTTGACGCTCTAGCAAAGCTTCAACTTGGTCAAATGTAAATGACATCTTGATAAGCTGACCCCGTCGCCAATTGTTATATCTAGAGCTTAGATTCTTGATATACGGCGTACAACTTGAGCACTCGAACGCTAGAACCCTCTAATGTACAATGTACAAGCAGTGACTTATCCAGCCCACAGAAAGACGGTGTCTTGTTAAATACTAACGAAATTGTTGCGGTACCCGCCCACGAAGAAACAGAAAATAAACTGAACAGCATAATGAATACAATTGCACCGAATGGAGCTCATCGTTCTGCGACAAAATTTTCTAATGAATCTACTTATCGGGATTTCCTAGTTTTATCAGATATGGGTTATATTAATGACTCACATGCTTTTGATTAAATCCCCAGCAAAAATGAGAAAAATATTTCGGATGAACCAAATGATGATCAAAAACCTAATGCAATTTTGATAGATACTGATTTTCCTAATGATCCATTACCTACTAACGAGATTTCCAATAAATTTGATGGGATTTTTTCAGAAGAATCAAACCCTGATGACCTCCTATCAAGTGTCGTTGATCCTCAACATCTAGTCACTTCTAGTGGATTCTCTATTCAGTGCAAGAAATATGTTTTAAATTGAGTCACATTAAATGTAACTTGGGGATATGAGGTTCCAACATTCTTTCGTGGGGGAGGATAAAGTCAGGAAATTTAAAGTCTGGATCTAAACTCCAAATCTTCAAAAAAGGTGTTATATCCCGACGAGAATAGTGGATGGTAACTATTGAGATTCATTTATGGACTAATACTATACATATATTTTCACTGTATAATTGTTAAGTAAATAAACCATGCATATTCAGGTCCGTCTTATTATAAGCTTTATTTTGATTTATAGACTATTATTATACGATTCACTGTTCTTGAGTTATGCTTGGTTTATTAATTACAGTCTCCCACACTCACATTCACTTTTTGGCTACATCTCGTACAAATGTTATTTTCTATTTTATGGTGTGATATGGTCTGGTTTGTATTTAAACCCAGTATGTTTTGAATACATGATTCATATCATGGAGGCTGAGATTGGTGTTCTGGGCTCAACAGGTAGGGCTAGGCAGGAAGAAGGAACGTAAAGACTCTAGACTGCTCGTACGGGTTCATGCGTCACTGGTCCGGTCGATAAGTCACTGTTCTCTAATTGGCGGTATCATTACGTTGCATATTAATAGGGCATAAGGCCATAGGGTTGCGTATAATGATAATGACGACCTAATTCAGCAAATAAACACATTGTGATGTACTAGACTAAGTCCGTTGTATGAAGAAAACTAGAGAGCCGAACTGAATTTGGTAAAGTGTAATATGAAACTTTTTACTTGAAGGTTAGATACTTCAACTAGTTGACCAGAAAACTTTGAATCAATTTATATGTGGTTATTATGTTGTCGCTGCTGATATTCATCGGTTTCAGCAAGATCAACGAGAAGTCTATTTGACGTAGGAAAAATTTAGAATTAAAACAATCAAATATCAGAAGCCTGTTTCTTGATCGTTTTACAAATAACCACATAGGAACTGCACAGTGATTTGGACTGGAGGATTATCATTTCCTTCTCAATTAATAGATGATTTGTAAATTTAGATGTGATTAAGTGCAGCAAGGAAACAAAAAATGTAAGACTTGATTAAACCACTGCTGTAATTACTGAACCAAGAAAAGTAGCTTCGACTGTGCAACACTTTACACAAGACAACTGGATAAAATGTTGCAATACCTCAAAAACTGAAAACAGGTTACATACCTGAGAGGATGCTAAAAACGATATCAATTTTACCGAGGTCTCTTCAGGGATTACAAAGTTCAGCAGTCTTAAAGCATGTACAATCCAATACGCCAACCACGGTTGGCTTGCATCTAAATGTTCAAAACTCATAGGCAGATTGAAAAGTCGCTTGTTGAGATAATTTATGTGGTTTATTTTGAACAACCGAAGTGCATCATCTTTCCATTGACAAAGTTTCTCGTAGTACGCTTTACTAACAAGGCTTTCTGTTTCCATTTGATCTATAATAGTTCTAGTTTCAGGTCCGTTAGTTCTGTCGGCCCGTCGTAGATGAAATAATGTAAGACGCTCCATAGTGATGCGGTTTGCAGGCGTATGGAGATTAAATTTCGCTTTTAAAGTTGCTTTGAAAGGTTGGAGAATAAAATAGTTACATCACCCAACAAATTTACGGTAAAAGTTCTTTATCAAGTGACATTTAAAACGGACGACCACTACGAGACAGTTAAAATATTAAAAATGAAAGTGGATCATAGCAAATATTTTGGTTAGTTAATTAATCCCAAGCCAGGAAGTTCAGTAACCAGTAGGTATATGTTTAGCCTGTAAAGAAAAGTGTGAGAAATTGATTCAGTTGGTCTAGTTCCTATAGACCAACTAAACAACAATATGGAATGAAAGGAAAAGATCGCTAATTAGTTCGCAGTTTCTGATAGTTTGAAAACAATCGACAATAGTTAATATTTTAAAAATTAGAATCCAAAGGAACTTATATTAGGAAACTGTTAATCAGATGCCCAAACTTTGTAGACGCGTACTATGAAGTAATCGATTCAATGTGATCATGGTAAAACACGAAAAATTATTGATCCATACTAGAAATAAAAACTTCAAGTATGTGAATGAACAAGATATTCTTATAATAACAAAAGCATTAGAACGATTGTCAAAAAGCAAGTGGGACAAATTCTGTTGTTTTATAAAGTTAGAAACGTGCTGGATATTTCAGAAATTTAGATAAGTTCTAAAGTTCTGAGACTGATGTATCTACGTCAACTAAATAAGCATTTTTATGACAACAAAAAGCTAGTATTTGTAGCCTACAAATCCAATGCGATAATATCACGTGCTGGTGTTACTTAATCGCATATTAACACATCAACAAACACACGAACTAATGCAGTCCACAACTCATGTCTATGGAAGAAACATTAATCCTGTAGAATTTAATGAAATATCTGCTGATACAACTTTTGAAATAAAAGAAATAGGTGGCTGCCTTATTTAAACTCCAGTTCTTTAAAGTTCGTTACAGTTACTTCGTACTTAAATTAAAAGCGTTTAGCATTAGCTAATATATCCATTAAGGCATCTTAAATTATGTATCGGTGCAACAGATTCTATGATAAATTATTTACATAATTTTCTTGAACAGTGTAAACCCTACAGACCTGAACACTTAGTTCATGATGTTTACACGTTTATGCAGCTCGCTGATGACGTTAGTTTACATGGAGCTTGATATTCGGAATTCGCCTTTACATCTGATTTGTACATGATGTAGATTAAGAAATTAGGGCATAGCGGTTATGCTAGAGCTAAGCAAGCAACTCAGTGTAATGCATATAAAATATTCTCTGGTGGGTTTCAAATTAGCATTTCCGCGACCACTATAAACACATCAGTCAAATGCGACTACAAGAAACGGATAATTACGTGCACGAATATTAAATTCATTTCATTTAAGCTGGATAATGTAGTACTAGTACACGGTAAACCTGGGCTAATCACTGATATAGGGGGAAGAGAATTAACTAAAACTAAAGCTTTGACTGACATATTAGATTGTTTGAGGAACCATTCTCGTTCAGTGACATAGGTATATTTATATACTCCGTAGTTTGTAATGTGCACATATGGGTTTGTGTTAATGATGTGCACTGTGATCCTCTGAAATGGGTTGAGAATATAGTAATAATTCCGTTGCTTCACACGTTTATGTGAATAAAGTTTCATACTTGTCTTACTACTCTGAAACAATTTCTAACTTTTGTATACAATTTAGTGAACCGCCAAACAGTTTTCAGTCATCAGTGCACCAAGTAAGAAGCAGGTAATAATTGCAGCAAGCAAGAGATTTGTCAGAGGAAAACGTTGTGTTTATCCTGTTTTGTGGATATGCACCTTAAGAACAGTGCTCAGCCACATGACAGTTGGTCACTTATCAGGTGTGAGGCTATCCACTAATATGGTGGGTAAAATACACAAGTTCATTCCCCACGGACGATTCGAAGACTGTAAAGGAATCACTGATCTCGTTCAGCAAGTTAGCTGGGTACCATGCCAATATTTTAAATGAAGAAAAAATACTCCAAATACATACATGGAAACCTAAAAGGTAAGTACACAAATCCTATTAATCTTTGGCAGATGGGCTTCGAAATGGAAACCAGGGTATTTGTACAGTTCATTTGACATGAACATGGCCGAAATCCAGGCTGGAAAGTCATGTGCATTATCCGAAGCTCAGGTTTCTGGAGTCATGTATCCCCACTGGCAAAGTACATTTTAGTTATAAATGTTCATAGATGAATACTACTCAAGTAGAGACGTTGCTATCGAGGTCCGCGTCAACTCCTGTTGGCGATGAGTTTGAGGCTGACATTTGCAGTTTAGGTCTATGTTTGGGATTCGCGAAGCTACATGTTGTTCTGCATCATATCCTGTCATCATTGTCAGATTTTAATACCAGCGTTATGCAGCTTATGTCTTAGTTTGTCTGATGAGCGTGATAATTCACAGAAACCTAATATTGTATTATCCAGTTTGTATTTCTCTGTCATTTGAAAACAAACTATGAAAGTTAGAAGCATGTCTTCAGCAAGAATGCATGAAAGACAAACTTGTAAATCAACTAAATTCATTGTCTAATAATTGAAATTGCTCAAACGCTTCTGATTGGCTCGTCGCTAAATTAGAGTTTCGCCAATTCATTTGATTATTACATAAAATCTCAAATGGTCATCGTGACATGAATAAGGGATGGTAATCCCAAAACTTCCATGAACTATATTTTGTCATGTTATGAAACCTGAGAAAGAGCACTCCAGAAGTCCAAGTTTCATAGCAGCATACGATGCTTTTTAATTCTTACTAATTATGAGCACTAACACAAAACTTCTTATCGTCAACTGTTGCAGAAAGACCTAGGAGATTTAAATGGTATAGCAACGGAAGGTTAGTCCTACGACATGAGATGAACTCCAAGAGCATCGTAGGAGGAGAGATAATGTAAGTAATGATCTGAAATGATAAACTAAGATTGATGTTCTATAGGTGCAGTGTTAACAAACTACCATGTCTCACCATACGTTGTCACGTGTTGGTATCAAAAATGTTTAAGCTAAACATTATTTTGCTTCATAATACACAGGAAGATTATTTTGTTTCCGGAGAGGAACACTGAAGTTCTAAAACAGCGTTAATTTTGGAGATTTTCTTTATTTTAAACCTGATTTTCTAAAAAACACCAAAATTATCTAAGTATACTTTCGCACTCAAATGTGCTACGTTGAAACAAATTAGTAGTAATTATATCTTGGATTGAAAATCAGGACATTTCCCTAGTAAAAAAACGCATTACCCACCAACCATGGGTTTTTTTTATAGGTCTTTGTCGATGACAATCAAACATTGAACGTGCAACAACAATGTGGCAAGCGACCGGATTTCCATAAGCTGTTGGCAGACCACGATTTCTTTTCCTGTAAATAAAAGTCTTTAGCCAGGTATAAACGTAGGAGACATTTTGGGCTGAAAGTGTATAATTGTGAGTAGACTTAGAGTAGATGTACGAGAAAAATAGATAATAAGTTGTAAATTCAGCAACAATTCGCAGGGACAGAAATGTTTATGTCTCACTAGTCCACCAAAGCAGGCTACAAAGGAGAATTTAAGGCGCATTTTCCTTCAACTTTTCTTCTATTTTACTTAGAGAACTGTCACTTTATTTCCTATATGTTCGTCTTAATTTCCATTTTCGGTTACCTGGATTCATCCACAACAAAATACATCTCAAAAAGAATAATGCCAAGAGCAGCTTGATAAATGTGGCAGCGTTGTATGGGCCATTTAGGATACCACAAACCGAACGCTTACTAAAGGTGTCTGTTGATTAGCAATTGAATTAGGGGATGTGACAAAAAACACCCTACAAAGTAGAAAACTTAATGACACTAATACTAGTCGGAGGACAGTAAGATCATCAAGAATCACTTACGTTCAAACGACGGCACGGGGAAAAGGCAAGTTAAAAAGGCAACGCTTCAGGGGTATCGTTCACTGACGGAGGTTGCGAGCACTTGAAGGTCAAACTGTCGCAAGATGATTGGTGCGTCACATCGACAATTAGTGAAAATTTTCATAAGCGGTCAAATCAAGACAGTTTCAGATTTTAATTGAGTTCAGCCACATCATGTCTGATAACGTTCATTCTTCAAGTAACGAAGACGATACCATCGTGATGATGCATGATATAGGACGAATCTTCAAGTTGCGACAATTTTGAGACCTGTTTGAAAGAAGTACATAAGGTAATATTGTGGAGATATGACTGACAAGCTTATTTTGTAAATAGTTTTCAATGTTATTTCTATTTGTTTTGTCAATTTTTCACTGTATGTACATTTATCATTAAATGACTGTACGTGTTGTTTTAGTCAATGACCTTGAACACTTTTTCCGCTGTAATTCGAACATAGCGTGACATATACTTACTGGCTAACAAATACATTACTACTCACACATCCCTCGTTCTATTTCCATTTGTGATTGGATTAGCTGAATTCTAAATCAAATATTATCATTATTTATAGACAGTAATTGGAATACATCACATTCTACGTGGGATTATATCACCAGAGAGTTCGCCAACCTGTTTGGTATTATCAAACATTTATAATTGTGGATTTACATTACCGGACCTAATCAGAACACGCAGCGTTTGGTCAATTTAAGTAACGTCCCTAATTTTTATTGTATTTGTAACAATTAACTGTATATATTAATATTACTATTGATCTTTAGTAACTTTGTTTATACTTTTTGCGTTCATATTTGTCTGGTCCACCACAATATGACTTCTGTGGTTAATAATTATTTTTTTGGTATACGCATACTAAGTACCTAATGTCAGTATGCAAAAAGAACAGTGATTATCCAACTCTAAAGTACTTTTTCATGAGATATATCTGTACATATGGACGTAAACGCAGTTCGTCAGAGTCAGATGCTTGCGTTTAAGATGTAGATGATGATATTAATCATTAAAAACGGCAATCCTTTTCAAATCTGTCCGCCATTTCGTTCCAACGACCTTGAACGGCCTGACTAGAGGCGGTCATTCCGTATTTCAATTGCCGTGGGTGTGTTGGGTCGTGTGAGTATTAAGTTTTTACATATTTAATCATCTTATGCTACATAAAAAAGCACAAAATGACTGCTAAGAGCATTAATTTACCATTCTCTGTTTTGTAGTGTACACGTGAGCCCTGTTGTTGCTTCGTAAACTGATGTGTGATCCCAACTACTGTAGTAAACGCCAACACCTTTATATAGTTTGTTGATGAGGTCCAGAAAAAACGTATGAAAGATAAGATAACCTTAAAAGTTTTAGATACGTGAAGTTTCGGTAAATCGCTGTTAAACAAAGAAGTTAAGACGAAATGTCAACTCAACGGTAAGTCGTAAATATTTGTTGTACTTCTTTCAGTTAGTATTTTTTCAAGGAATAACTTTTTTTGATAGTTAATGCGTGTTGTCTGAAGCGCTTCATGCTCAAGTAAAATTACAGTGGACGTAAGCGAGGCGTTTCAACGTATTATACTGAACAAGCGATTCGGAATTTGGATTGAGCTTGATAGTGCGCTAAAGGATTTCCATAAAGTATGGAAGAATAATTCTATATTTTCTCAGATTATCCATACGCACTATGTTCACACAGAAAGTAAATTGTTGAAGGATATGATATATAAATACTTGTTTGTGGTGTTTACTTGCACATTTGGTCGTAAAATTAAATCAGCAGGTCTGACAGTGAATAAAAAACCGTGGGGACTTTAACCAATCTGTGACATTTAAGGTCTAAGTTTTTAAACTGCCAATCTAAGCTTCGTATAAGATTGGAAAATCAAGTATACGTCATAAAATCTTACAACATGTCTCACAACCATCCTTGTAGTAGTTCATGGATGGTTTGTGATTCGTGGAGTAGAGGATTGTCATCCAAAGAAAAAGAAAATTTGAAGCCAGTAATATTGCACTCGCAGTCAACGGATGAAGTTATAGAAAGTATTAAGAAGAGAACTGGTAAGCAGGTTACCGTGTAGTGGCATTGGACAATAGCCACACAATCCACAAAGCTGTGAACACGAGACTACTCAGAAAATAGATATTCAATATTTAACTCGGGGAAATACCTAACAATGGAGAAGGCGCGGAGAATGAATTGAATGGACTGGAGTTGATCGACTGGCATGGCTCGACCATGCAGGCGTGGTCCCTGCTGAATGTTACCTTATATCTTCTATTCATATTAAATATATTGTTCCTTCTCTAGCCTAACCTTGTTCTACATCATGTATTGGTAATTGATACGATACAGTGAGTTGGTGTAGTCGATGATGTGACTTCCACGTAAGATCTTATAGATTAGGCAGCTATATCATGACAAATCTACAAATTTAGGATTAGGTCTATTATTAGAGCAATACTAATATCATAGTAGACCATAATTCTACAACCGCTGCTGATTTCAAAACTATGGAAGTTAAATTCTCCACTGGTAAATATATAGAAATATATTTCAGGATGTACTCAAATTTGAGTACAACCTGATATATGCAATACCTGCTTTAAAGCAGGTATTGCATGTGCTGTGACAATACGGTGAAGTTAGGGAACATGTAGTAAATGGATATATCATGAGAATATGCTTCAGTAGTTATGACCAAATACGGTTGTACAATCAATATCCCGAAGTCGTGTGTATTGATTCGACTTATAATACCAATAATGAAAGTGATTGTGCCCTTTGTTACTTGACACTTTGTAGATATTTCTTATATCAGTTTTTTATAAGAGATAAGTTTGATCGTGGGTGGCCTATAATATTTGGTTGGATGAGAAAGGAAATGCGCGCAGATACTATGTGGTTTCTAGAAAAATTCAAAGAGGTTATGGGAAATACGGCGAAAACCCAGACCTTTGTTATGGATGGCGCACGAGCAGAAAGCGCAGCTGTCCGTGTCACACACGCTACTGCAAAAATTATTTTGTGCGCCTTCCATGTATGTCGCTCTTTTCGCAGAAATATACACCAATATTGATTAAAATAAAATAGCTTTTAGACACACAACGAAATATTGAGAACGTACTAAGTCGATTAGTAACCGCAGAAACGGTTGGAAGGTATTTTTTGAAATGCATTTAATCAGCAGATTTAATCAATATTTCAGAATTATCAACCAAAGAGACAAACAAGTGATCAATATCTTCACCGATTTCAGATGTCGCTCAAAAGTATGTGGGCACTTGCGTTTTATGGCAATGTTCTAACTCTGCGCAACAACACGAATAATCGTGTTGAGTCGCTTAACCGCCAAATAAAAAGGTATGTAATGAAAACGGATAGTTTGTATAAATTTATATACAAAGTTTTCAAGTGCAATGATATCCTCTAGGAAAAGTATTGAAGATCAAATAATAGCCGGAGGATCGTGTAGATATGATGCTCCACAGCGCCTACTTCCGTTGCTGAACATGTAAACGCCATTCGCACGATCAAAAATGTTATACAAACTTAAAAAAATCCGTTTTGTTCATGTGGGATATGAAAATGGCGACTGGTTGTTTACTGTTGATTGCGGAGAGTATTATGAAGCCCTTGTGAGTGCAAGTGTAGGATATTTGTTACGTGTCGATATCCTTGCCGCCATCTGCTACTGGCATATGTTAAGAGACAAACTCTAACAGGTAAGCTTAGTCACTTACGAAATATAAACTATATAGCTCTCAAATTCCTAGGCATTGTTGTAGATGGAAGTTAGTTAATAAGCACGACTTACAAAACAACACAACAGTTTCATTACCCAGACGGAGTGAAGAATATATACAAATTCAACTGCTCCAAAGAATGTGCAAACAACAAATTAATGAGAAAGACGGTGAACAATTCGCGAAAAAGGTGGAGAGAAAAGTCTACACTTTTTACTGAAGAATTACCAACAACTAGACAGCACGTTCACGATAAAAAGTTCTTTGTGGCCTTATTTTTGACTTCACTATATATACACCTTGTAAACTTATCGTTCTACTTTAGTAGTCATGACAAATCAATAAACTTTTTCTCAGTTTTTATTTTTGTCTTCTTCATATTTTCATGGGGAGGTATACCAATAGTTTTAACGAATAATTGTGTGTGAGAATTAAGAACTTGTACTACTGCATTAGGTTCGAAGTGTCGTTAGAACTTAGCGTTATATCATTGTTAATTGTGACGAATCAAAGAGTCACTTCGAACAGTAATGCGACTTCCACTTAAAACCATACAGATTTGGCAACCGCCCTACATATTTTCCGTTGTCGGATTACGTCTGTTATCAAGTTAGTATTAGTAGCGGACTAGATAATTTCATGCAGTTAGTTCTCTGATATGATGGGTTACGTTATCCTCAAACCACCCTTCCACTCACACATTTTGCTAACTTTATCCTCTTAAATTACGTGAATTCTTCAAATTGTATTCAATTATCTTATTAGTTTGTAAGTCGATGATTTATTCACTACCTCTAGAATTATCACACAATTTATCTCATCTGCGTCTGAACTCCATTCGACTATTACACTACCCATCATTAATGTTTCCTTAAGTCCAACACCAAATAACCTTTGACCTGTTCAAGAATATTTATATGTATATGGCACGGGCATTGGAGTAAGCGAGGGGTTTTCGCGCACATGTTACATATTGTCGTGGACTGTTTGTGCCATTATTTATCAGTTATTAACAGCCTTTTTCCCATTACACGTCAATGTTCGTAACGTTTGTGCTTGTTACATAGTTCTTATTCCAGTTTATTAGCGGTTTGACGTATTTGATGCTCACCACCTAAGTGAATCTTCAGTGAGCCTAATATGTTTATTTGTAACAATACAAACTTAAGCAAGTAAAATTCACCATTTTTCAAGTCGAAAAATAGATCACAAATAGAGTTTTCATGAAAATAAGCTTTAAAACCTATTACATCTGGTTCACCTCCTTGATTATGGTCATGATAAACATCAATGTTGGTAGTTATTTATAAAATGTAGGTTGAAGCA